AGTCATGACGAGGTCCTACCCCGCCCTTTCGAGGAACTGGTAGCTGAAAACATAAGGTTTGGATTTGATATGGGCCTTGGGCGTTGCGGGGTTTTGGAGATTGGCTTCGACGCTTGGAGAGAACAGAACGGTCAGGTTGCTTTGGGAATCTTAGCGGCTCAAACTCAAAACCATAAACCCGCCGCAACATGATGCGGACAGACTTTTGTCTCCTGCCGCGCTGGCTCCTCCTGATGATGGACGGCTGGCATGTCGCCACCTGCAAGATGGGAGTTACGGTTTAGGGTTGAGGGTTTAGGGTTTAGGGCTTAGGGTTTAGGGTTTAGGGTTTGGGGGGTTTAGCCCCAAGATGCAGGGGTTACGGTTTCAGGACTTCTTCACGTTCAAAGGTATGCACGTCGAAGCTGTGGAAGGATCCAGAGAATGCAAACCTACTTGGAGGTGCACGGTACTTCTTAACCAGTCATAACTGCCCTTATAACCCTCTTCTGAGCCCCCTAAGTGCCGTACAGCAGCTCTTGGGCTACTAAGGACCATGAACCTCCAAGTCGTCAAACCGGAATGCTTGCCCTCGCCCGCCCGATCTCCGGTGCTGCACTCGGGCTACGAGGGCGCCGCGCCCGCGGTCTCCGCCTTTCAGTACCCGGGGGAAGATGATAGCTAGACCAGTAGCCGAGGTATAAATGATGGGTACCCTTTTTGGTTAAAAAGGGGCTGATAAGGACACCGAAACGCGAAATAAACGAGAAAAGAGGCCTGCTCTGAATCCTAGGGTTCAACCGTAAGACCTTAGGGGGTGTAGGGTTGTTCTTGGGATGTTATAGGGTTGGCTACACGGGTTGCTGATACAGACCCCGCAAAGCTCAGGAGTTGATCGCTAGGATTTGCAGCTTTTTCAGTCGTTCAGGATGCTGGGCTTCCACCTAAACCCTAAACCCTAAACCCTAAACCCTAAACCCTAAACCCTAAACCCTAAACCCTAAACCCAAGGGGAGGCGCAGAATCCAGAATTGACCTTAACCTCGGGACCTCTAAGCTGAAGCGAAGACTGGCTGGTTCTTTGCAGGGAATGAGGGAATGAGGGGGCCCTATACATACCCTTTAAGGGATCATATAGGGCCCTCATTAAACCCTAAACCCTAAACCCCTACTAAGAACCAAGGGGAAGAAGTCTGCCTTCGAGCGCTTCGGCCGGCGCGCGCGATGACTTGTAGCCTGGCGCCAAGAGGCTCAGGGGGCTCTCAGGATGCGCGGGTCGAACATGTAGAGCTAAAGGGAACCCTAAACCCTAAACCCTAAACCCTAAACCCTAAACCCTAAACCCTAAACCCTAAACCCTAAACCCTAAACCCCAGAATAGAACGATTTCCAGAAGGCATGCGGGGCCATGCAGGAGTTCGAGGCACTCGGGCCCAGGATCTGAAGCTCCTAAGTGGCTGAGGTTCATGGCCTGAAACCGCTAGGCAAGTAGGTGAGATCCCGGTAGGCGATGTGAAAGCTCCCCTAAACCCTAAACCCGAAACCCTAAACCCTCTTTTGGTTCTTGGCTCAAGGTGGAGGCTTTCGGGCTTCACAAGTTTCAGGGCCACGGCCGCCCGCGCCTGAGGCGTGGCTCGACCTGGGGTCGCGGCCAACGCCTTCTTCCAGGTTTCAGGGTTTAGGGTTTGGGTTTAGGGCTTAGGGCTTAGGGCTGAGGGTTAGGGGGTTTAAAGTTTCGGGTTTAAGGGTTAAGGGTTATAGGGTTTATAGGGTTGTAGGCCCACGGGGTCCTAAACCCCAAAACCCTGAGAGGTAAAGATTTCAGGATCAAAGGTGCATCTAAAAAAAAGGGTGTTGGGAAGGGCTTCTGGATGCTGGGATGCGTCGTCTGAGTAAGCGCCGGGGGCTCTGGACGGCAAGATCATGTTTGTGAAAGCCCAAGGCCCCGAAGCCGCGCATGCAGAGCTGTAGACCCCTGAGACAAGATCCCTAAATTGATTTGTTTGGCTCGGGGTTGCTAAGTCTTGAGGCATGCGATTTTTGGAACTTGATGCCAAGGGGTTGGCGCTTCCAACTACTCTGACCCCTCCCCGAAATCTCGACACCCCCTGAACCATCAGTCAACAAAGGTAGCCTGTGAGCCCCAAACCCTACTTGGAGGTTCATAGTATTTATTAACCCAATTCTAACCCTGCTTATAACCCAATTCTAACCTTATTAGGGCACTTAAGGAGCTCATAAGTGGGTTAAGAGTACAGTTACAACTGGTTACTATGTACCATAAACCTCCAAGTAACCCTAAACCCTAAACCCTAAACCCTAGCCCTAAACCCCAAACCCCAAACCCTTAATAAGCACCATGAACCTCCAAGTACAACCTTCACCTGGCCTCCAGCTCAGAGTCGATCTTGCCCTTGCTGCGACGCACCAGCGCCAGAAGCTCAGGGGCCACTGGAGCCGTGGCCTCTGCAGGGATTCGGAAGTTTAGGGTTTAGGGTTTAAACCCTAGCCCTAAACCCTAAACCCTAAACCCCAAACCCCAAACCCTAAACCCCAAGCCCTAAGCCCTAAACCCTAGTTGGGAAGCTTGAGGTTTCGGGGGTGGCTCTTGAAGCGTCTTGCAAGGTTCAAGGGACTACAGGAGGGACCCTCACAAGGGACCGTAGGAGTTCTTTAAGACCTTGCTGCTCGGATGTTCCCCCCTTATACTTGCAGTCCTTAGTAGGGATTATAATCGGGGGTATTATAATCTCTATGGAGGACTGTTGGTATAAGGGGGAACATCTCAACCTTTTTGTCTCGAAACGTATAAACCCCCTAAACTTGCCCCGCCCCTAAAGTGTTGACGTTGTTTGCTTTTAAATGTAAATCCTCGGAGGGGGGGGGGGGGGGGGGGCTCAGAATGAAACACCTTTTTCGGGCCAGGGGCATGCCGACCAAAAGTTTCCTTCATGAACGATGTCCATTGTGTCGGAGTGTTGGGCCCTCATTGTGATCTGCAGCCTTGTTGGGGCGAATTCATACGAGCCAACCGGCGCAGCCCTGGCCACATCGTTAGCACATCTTGAATCCTGAAACGCAAAGTTGAATCCCAAAAGCCTAAAACTCACCTGGCCTCTTTGCCCAGGAACGCGTGGAAGCTTCCACCAGGCTCCTGCAGCAAAGAGCGGAAGAGCCCTCTCGAAGGGCTCTCTCGAAGAGCCCTATAGAAGAGCCCTAAACGGTTTAGGGTTTAGGTTTTAGGGTTTAGGGTTTAGAGTTTAGGGTTTAGGGACCATGACGATTGGATTCAATACTGAGGCTCAGGCGTAAGGAATTGAGGAAATGAGGGATTCGAGTGCAGGTTTCAGCTAGCGGCAATCCTTACAACGCAAGATTGTGGTGGTTTGGGCTTCGGCGCATCATCTGGATTAGGCCGAGGAATGAAGCAAAACTTGAAAGCCCCTCTCATAGCACAGCGAAAAATCAGTGCAATCTTGTACAATGTTGTGCGTGGCCCTGCTTAACCATTCCGGTTGGGAGTATTTTTCGTTGAGGTTTGGGAAGCCAGGGGTGGGTGTTCCATGCATCTCATCCATCTCATTCTGCAAGCTGGGCTTGCAGCCGATTCCTTCCTCTCGCCCCCCCCCTGCGCGCTGCGGACTTGCATGCGATTTCCCGGAAAGCTCGTCGATGTATCGGGCCCTCAACGCCGCGGAGCTCAGAAGGGTCTGAACAGAACCGGTTTAGGGTTTAGGGTTTAGGGTTAAGGGTTAAGGGTTAAGGGTTAAGGGTTTAGGGTTTAGGGTTTAGGGTTTAGGGTTTAGGGTTTAGGGCTAGCAGGGGTGGGACTGCTGAACGGCCGGCTCGCGAGCATGACTTAGGACGAGTTGAATAGAATTCTCGACAGGCTGGCAGCCTCTGGCACAAGGTCTGAAACAGCTGAGCAACCCGAAGGAGGAGAAACTACACGCTGAGCTCTAGTTTCGAGTTTGGAGCTGAAGGCAGCTTGTACTTATGTCTAAGTTTACATCTTTGTAGTCACCAAATTTCCGGCATTCCTTGCAACTAGCATAAACATATGGGGGTTTCCGATATGAGTTGCACCTTCTGGGGGTCCTTGATTTTTAAGGGGATCCTACTATTTGGGAGGGGCAATTTTCGGGGTCCCCTATTGTCATAACCCATGGACAACGCACTGAAGTGTCCCCCGCTGCCTCTCCGCACTTATCCAGCAAGGCCTCAGTGCATCGGCGGCGCTTCAGGGCTCTGTGAGAGACTAAGATGGCCCTTAGAAAATATAGAATGTCCCTAGCCCTATGCCGTAGAGTCGAGGGGTTGTGCAGAATGGGTTTCAGAGCTTCTGGAAAGTCCCCAAAACCACATCCGAGAGATCGCAGTTTCTGATGAAGCGTGTGTGCGTTCAAGAGCTGCTTGCGCAAGTCACGAGCGTCGGCTGACTCAACAACCGAAGGCCCAACCCCTGAAATCCCGAAGCCCAAGCCCAGGACTCGATCAAAACCATTCGCCCCTGAGCCTAAACCCTAAACCCTAAACCCTAAACCCTAAACCCTAAACCAAAAGCCCTAAACCAAAACCCTAAACCCTGAAGGCCATGTCCCTGGTGAAGACACTTCGGGTTGTGCGCATGGCCGGGTGCGTGTGGCTCTTCTACCCTAAACCCTAAACCCTAAACCCTAAACCCTAAACCCTAAACCCTAAACCCGACTGTTTCTGAGCTCTGAGGTATCGGCAAGCCGGCGACGGTGCACCGCCAGGTCTGGGAGGTCCAGGCAGACCTGGGGGGTTTCCGAAAATCGGGGTACCCTTTTTTGGGGGTTCTGGGAATAAGGGTTGTAGTATTTGCGCGTGTAGTCGGGGTACCCCCTATTTTGGGCAATGCCCACCTCTGCTTCTGTTCTCTAACAGCCCAGAAGCCTACACTCGAAGTCCCAAAAACCGAACTACCTGACACAAGGCCCGAAGAGCAGCTCTGTTTGTTGTCATCGCAGCGTGAGACTTAGACTCTGTGCGTTCTGCTGTCACTCCGTGTCAGGCATTCTCTCCATCGGGCGGCCAAAGACGATTTGCCGGGGACTGTAGGTAGATTGCCGCGGCCTCCTGAATTCCCCATCGTCATCTACAAAGCACTGGAGCGATATGAGCGCCACGGCATTTGCCACCAACATACCGAAGTAGATTCCTAGCTCCAGGGCGAGACTGTTTCCACAAGCCGTCTGCCCAAAGGCACCTGCAAGAATGCCGAAGAGAAGATTTTCCATGTACCGGAGTGCCTGCACAATCTCCAGACCACTTTCGCGGTAGTGCTGCTTCCCTGTTGTCAGCAGTACTGCGAGCAGAACTAGGTACGGGACCGTTAGGACCATAGCGGGATCTTTTTTTGGCAAGCAGAGCGGGTAGATGCTGCAAATGAGGAAGAATGTGACGCATGTCGGCAAGCCGTAGGCCCTGACGGGCTCGGACAGAACCATTGCAAAGCCCATGCAGCGGGCAGCGGCATCCGTTGCCATGAAAAGCATAGCCAGCACCTTGCCCGGCCAGACCCGAGACAGCCTAGCTGGCCCAATGCTGGTTGCTTCTGAAAACACTGCACAAACCATCACTGACGACCCTGCAAGGGACAAGACGGAGCTGCAGACGGACATCACCTTGAAGGTTTGTCCATACGCACCCAGTGCAAACAGAATGTACGCCTGGAGGTAGAGCTGCGGCACAGATTCCAGCATGACCGTCCAAAGATTTCTCCTGTCACTTCCGGGCACGCGACTTTCTCCGGTAAATAGGAATCGGGCAAGATCCCAGACTTGGGAGAGCTGAGCGACTGCGAGGCTGCACATGCAGGCGTGTTTTAAGTTTCTTAAGGCACCCGCCCTGACCGATCGTTGCTTCCCCGGGCTGTCCGTTCACCCAGCAGCAAGCCGGTACCAGTGTGGAGAGGATGACCAACGTCAGTGCAATCCCGAACCACGTCCAGTGCGGTGTGCAATTCGGGAGCTCCAGGTCCAACGTGCCATTAACCGGGCCAGTGCTGTTGACTTCAAGCGTCGGGCAGTCTGGTGTCAACGAGTTCTCCAAAACGCATCCGTACTGCAGCATCACCTGGGCTGCTAGACGAGGTGTTTCAACAAGAAGACCTCCGAATCGAAGGAGAGACCCCGCCAAATGAACTAGCTAGCGATCCAGTTTACGATGCTCAAGCTCACTCAAACTATTCCGGGCGGCGATGAAGTCCGATACAAAGTCAAAGATGCCCAAGGCCGCGAAGAAGGCCATAGAAACGGCCTTGCCCCAGAAACTCCAGTTCATGGCTTCGCCAGGAGCTGACAGGGCCGGAGCTCTTACAGATGGCTTGGGCTCCCAACGGACTGCTGGTATCACGAAAAATGGACATGGAAAGGCTGTGGATGTCTCTGCAGCAAAGACTGCCTACCAAATCAAATTCTCGGCATTGTCAGCTTCTTCTCTTTCTTCGGTCCTGTCGGTGACCAGAGAACTGAGCCGAGAGTTGAAACATATTCATGAAAGCTTATGATAACTCTTGTGTAGCCGTAGAGTCGATGCGGGGGGGGGGGGGGCGTCCGAAAATGATGGGTCTAGCTTGCGTGCCGCTGAGCCTTAATGCTTAGCTGTCACAATAACTCCAAGCTAGGGCGCCAGCCATCCTCGCGACCTGCCGGATGGACTGAGGTGTGAAGTTTCCATGAAGACCCGTGCAACTCCTGAAGTCTAAACCCCAAACCCTGAACCCTAAACCCTAAAGCCGAAACTGTGGGCCCAAGAAGCCCAAAATGGGGCTTAGGGGTCGCCTCAGGCAGGCCGTGAGGTGAATAACCTACCATGCTTGCCTTAGCTAAAGCACTTCGAACATGGGGGTGTACGATATTCGGGGTACCCTATTGGGGTCCTTATTCTAAGGGGATCCTACTATTTGGGGGGGGGGGGGGGTCTTTACTGGGTCCCCTATTTTCGTAAACCCCACATTATGACTTGCAGCCCTAAACCCTAAACCCTAAACCCCAAACCCCAAACCCTAAATGTTCTGCCCGTCAAGTGCGAAGCCCTGTGCACAGTAAGGCCTGTGGCGGGAGCCGGAACCCTGCGAAGGCTGAGGGTTTCGGGTTTCGGGTTTAGGGTTTTGGGTTTTCGGTTGCTCGCAGGTTTTTAAGGTCTTAGTCAGCTTAGCTTGATTTCTTAGATGCGCTTAGTTTGATTTCTTAGAGTCCTCTTTCGCACTTTGGGGTTACAGTACAGCGCCCTGACTCGATGTCGAAGCACCGTTCCCCCGACCCTGGCTCGATGTCGAAGCACCGTTTCCGTGACCTAGGTCCCGTGGTTTTCTACTGCTGACTCTACCTACCACATGACCCACCCAAACCTAGTGGTTCCGGGATCCTAAAACTGCAAGCTTCGGGCTTAGGAGTTTAGTGTTGCCTGAAGGGTTTGCTGCGAGTGAAGGGGTCGTGTCATTCGGAGTATCGTGTCCAAAGGTTCCCCCCCCCTCCTTCCAGCGCCAAGTCAGTGGTGACGAGAATGCGCTTTCCATCCAGGGTGAAGTCGCGCCTCACCCGCTCCTCCGCACACAAAGGGGCCGAAGGTTTATTGAGCTTCGGGATGTTTTGGGGTTTGGGATGTTCAGGGTTTCACCCTAAACCCTATATCCGGCCTGTAAGCCTCAGTCCGCTGGAGGGCTCAGGGTTTAAGGTTTAGGGTTTAGGGTTTAGGGTTTAGGGCTTAGGGTTTAGGGTTTAGGGTTTAGGGTTATTGAGCGCTTCGGGTGGCCTAAAACCTTCCAGGATGGGGGGATGGGATCCTCCATGGATGCAGTTTGAAGAGTCCGGTCGGGCGTTTGGGGATGAGGCTTTGGGAACATCCCCCCCCCCCCCCAAACAAAAAACAAAGTTAGGGGGATGTTCGGGGCCGAGAGCCCAAACCCGAAAACCCTGCGGCCCCTCCGGCTACCCGGGGCCCACAAGGGCGCGAGGAATTCGGTGGGCCAAGGCACTTGGGACTTGGAAGTTGATCCGGGAAAACATCCAGGGTTTCGGGTTGAGGGTTTAGGGTTGAGGGTTTGTGGGGAGGGGAGAGGGGTCTTGGTTCAGGTGTAAGGGGTAGCTCAAAAGGCCGGTTTATGGTGAAACGCTGAAGGGAGCTCAGGTCAATCAAGCTCCGGCGCGACCACTTGGCCAAGGAAGTGAAGAGTACCGAGGCTGTCGCTGAGTATGAAGAGGAAGGGCCGGTTGACCGTCATCTCTGCTGACTTGGAGCGACCGCGGGTGGCCATGGCGGCACCGGTTGCTGCGGCAGCAATGGTGCCCTCCTCGTTGACTTCAAGGGTCGCCTGGTGCATCACCTCGCCGAGGCACACCAGCGGGTCGTCCGACATCTTTAAAAAGCCACCTGGGAGATTCTCGAAATGAGGGTCCTTTTTGGCGGGTTACTATTTTCAGGTGCCCCCCAATATATTTGGGGGTCCTTTTTGGGGGCTACTATTCTACGCCCCCCCAAAATTTGGGGTACCCCTAAACCCTAAACCCTAAACCCTACTTTAGAGAACTCGCCACCTGTAGATTCAAAGACCTCCTGGAGCCCGAGTTGCTCTAGCACAGCCTTCATCCTGGGACGCGAAAGGAACGCGGCATGTAGGACTAGCTCAAAAAAGCCCAAGAGTGGTTGCTTTCCTTTGTTTCTTTGTAGAGTTTAGGGTTTAGGGTTTAGGGTTTAGGGTTTAGGGTTTAGGGTTTAGGGTTTATGGGATTAGTCGCGAATCAAGGACATAACTGAGATGGGCCTGGGATCGATCCTCCGGCACTGAGGCGAAAGCGTGGTAGTCTCAGCGTCACCTCCACCTCCGCGCCATACAGCTCTGCATTCCTTCCGCAGGGTTCAGGGCTGCTTTCATAACCGGCTCCTTTAATTCTGGAGCAGGGGTGAGCCGCTAGCAAAGTTGGTGAGGGGGATGTAAGCTGCGAACACACAACTCACGACGCATCCCAAGCTTCAAGGGATGCCAGATCTTCTCGAGGGAAGCTGCCACTTCGGCAAGGGCATCTGGACCAGGCGCCTTCGGCAAGAGGATGGTTGCCCAAGTCTTCCTGCCGACATAGGGAAGTTGAACGGCTTGGAAGATCTCGTTCTCTGTGTACGCCACGTCCTTCTCCTTCCTGCGCATCATGTGGCAAGTGCGAGGCCCCGAAAAGCCCTCGAACTGAGACGTTTGGGTGAGGTCTGCATCAAAAACCGTTGCCCATGTACCGTTGAAGAACACTGTGCTCACGAGCACCATTACAGTAAGGGCGTCCAGCGAGTCAAAGAGCGTCGGGAGGCGCCCCAGCGTCTTCTCCTTCACCCATGCGTTGATGGGTGAGGGGTCGGCGTCCATCAACTCATGGGCCTCTGCGCCTAGCTTCTTCTGCACAGCCTCCACGAAGTCCGGGCGGATTCGTGCGCGAACCCACGCAGAGTTGAACATCTGCACCTCGCTGGCCGGAGGCAAGTTTGGGAGCAGAGTCTTGAGCAAGGCCATGAGCTCCTTCTCCGCCTGGGAGCCCGCCGTGGCGCCAGCTGCAACCATGGACAGGCACGCTGAGATGCACAGCGGAGACACCAGAGCATCCTCCCCACGCGATGCGAGCAAGCGAAAGAGGGAGAAGCCGAGGGGATTCACTGACTTAAGCACCGCGGCCCCCGGAGCTCGTGGCATCCTCGGTGTACAGATGAAGTGCCTGTGGGAACTTGACCCAAAAGGCTTCTGCCTCCGAGCCACTCAGCATGGCCCATAAGGGGGGCCTGCAGACCGGGAGGGGGGAAGGGTTAGGTGCAGACCCTAAAATACCCGGAGCTCCTCTTAAACCTAACAAGCCCAACTTAGACTGTGGCGCCCTGGTCCCCAGAGAGTAACCTCGGAATACAGTTGCAACCTTTATTTTTCTGAGCCGGGCTTGTAAGGGAACCCAAACAAACAAAACCGAACTAAGGGCCCCCCAACTCTGGTGATGTGGGGACCTGTAGACCCTCCTAAACCCTAAACCCTAAACCCTCAACACTAAACCCTCAACCCTAAACCCTAAACCGTCAACCCTAAACCCTAAACCCTAAACCCTACACCCTCAACGGGCTCAGGACTTTTTTAAGGACTCTTTGGGCTGGCCCGCCGCCCTCCTGCTGCTTCGGGTCCGTGAGCTTTACGCAAGCCTGGCTCAGGGTAGTCAGGTCAAGCCCTAAACCCTAAACCCTAAACCCTAAACCCCAAACCCTAAACCACAGAAATATGTTACAAAAAAAGAATGAAGCCTGCACCCTCGAACCTCAAGCTGCTCCGTGCTTAAAGCTTAGGCAGGCGAAGGATACTTCTCGCCGCCCACAACTTGTTCAGGTGTTTTGTTTTACTGGTGCTTCTCAAAGGGGAATAGAGGAGTGGATGTCTGTCACCGCCCCTATGTCTACGTAATCCCCGGACCTCATCTACCCCTCTGGTTGTACCTATGCGCTTCTTAGAACGCAGCTTGTAAGGCAGAACGGCGACAGGTGTGAGCCGTGGGCCTGAAACAGAAAAGAGACCCAAATGCCTTCCAGGTACAAAGGCGATTTCGGGCTTAGGATTTCGTGCTTGGGGCCTGTAGGTCCTCCTTTACAGCTTGGGACTTGGGGTTCGTGTTAGAGCTGGTTTGGGTGTCTGTTTTGGGGTGTCTGCAAACTTCTAGGCCCGGCACTGTAGCTGCTGCCATGCTTGCGGGGAGAACACACGTAAAAAACGCCAACCTGCGAAACTCCGACCTTCCAAGGCCCTCAACCTCTACTCTAGGACCCAAACTTTCGCTCTTGTGCAAAGATCCGGTTTAGGGTTTTGGGCTTCGGCTTGCACACTAAACCCCACAATCCCTAAACTTGAGATTCGGGGATTCGCGCGCAGGGTGTAGGGGCTTCGCCTTTCGCCTCGGGGCTTCTGGGGGCTTGGGGTCCCGGCGAGCTGACGGCCAGCAAGGGCCACGCCGATCGTGGCCACGGCATCAGCGTCCGAGCATGGGATCAACCTCTCAGCGCGCAAGGGTCGAGTCAGTCATTCGGATCTCTGTCTTTAGGGGCTCAGAAAACCCACATAGACATACAGGGTCAGGATCTCTGTCTTTTGGGACCCACATAAGGATACTACAAGCATGGCTCTCCAGAATCCCCCTTCTAGGGGCCCTTTTAAACCCCGAACATGTTGATCCTTACGTTTATGCGGCTTTGGGGATTTTAGGTCTTCGGGGTTGAGGGTTCAGCAGAGGGCATGAGCATGCCCCCTTCCCTGATTCCCTCGTTTCCTTCCTTCCATCATTCGTGATTCCCCCTGCCTTCCTTCACCAAAAAAGTCTAACAACATCAACCATTAAAATAGCAAAGAGACAAAAACTTGTGATTGGGACAATTTTGACTGGCGTTCCTTTCAAAGGAACTGCAGCTAGCCATAGGGGATAGGATGAGGGGGACCCTTGGGGATAAAGACCCTCCGAATAAAGTCCCTGTTTAAGAGAGCCAGAATAGGCTGCTAAGAAGGGGTACCCTTTGAAGGGTCCCCCTTATCCTTCAACTTCTTCCATCTTCACAAACACTACCTTGGGGAATGACGTGTCCAATGGCCTTAAATTCTTAAGATATCAGCACCATCATACATGTGAGTTGTGCTAGCATTTGCTTCCCTTGCTTAAAAAAGCCACACATGTGATTTAGAATGCACAAAGCTATGATCGTACATGTTTGATTCCTTCTCATTCATTTCGAGTAAACCCTAAACCCTAAACCCTAAACCCTAAACCCAAAACCCTGAACCCTAAACCCTAAGACATGCTTACATTCCCCAGAGCCACCGAGGCACGTGAGGGATCTGGTCGCCAAGCCTTTCTTCTCGGACTCTTGCAGGTCCCTGCGCGGGGCCACCCCAACCCGCCCGCAACCCAGGCCAAACCCTAAACCCTAAACCCTAAACCCTGAACCCTAAACCCTAAACCCTAAACCCTAAACCCTAAACCCTAAACCCTAAACCCTAAACCCTAAACCCTAAACCCTAAACAACCCAAGCAACCCAATCCCGGTACCCTCCAAGCTCCGGTCCCTGAAGGTTGTGCCCTTGGGTTTGGGGACCCAGAAAAATCCCGTAAGAAATATCAACGGCCATACTAGGGGTATCCGCCGAGGCCTTGGGCCGGAGGTGTATAGGTTGTCAGAACAGGCACCCCCTCCAAATCCTCCCCCACACCCAAAACTATTTTTCGGACCACTTTTTTTGCCTCAAATGGGTACCCCCCTAGGAAACCGGGTCCGCAAGCGGACGGCTCGCCAGGACCAGAGGCAGTTGAAGCCCCTCCCCCCCCCCCCCCCCCCCCCCCCCCTTCGAGGCTCAACAACCTGCCTTACACGAGCCGAAGAGTCTAAGCTTGAACCTAAACCCTAAACCTTAAACCTGAAGCCCGAAGCACTCACTTCAAACCCCCCGCCCCCCTACCCCCCCCCCTCCCCCCTTCCCCCCCGAAAAAACCCTAAACCCCAAAGCGTGAACCTTGAGCCCTAAGCCCTCAATCCCCCTCAACCCTAAACCCCAAACCATAAACCATAAACCCGGAACCCTAAACCCTAAACCCAACCCTTATTGCATGGGGTCCAGCGACTTGGGCGCTGCGGAATCACCATGCTCACGCGGATGCGCTGGGCCGGGCCGAGGCGGGTCGCGTAGCGTTAAAATTAAGGGAAACGTTAGGGGGAACGACCTGTGCGGTGCGAGTTTAAGACTCCTTTGAGAATCCAGAAAGGCTTAGTAAGGACCTTGCAGTCCAAGTCCTCGACCCAATTTAAAATACTCAGACCCCTTTGAATCGGAAGACTGGACCCAAGACTACTCTGGGTCCGAGTCACAGAAGGCCACAACACCACAGAGCAGAAACCCACCCTTTTCGTTCTCCACCAACAATACGCATGGCTTGCACATACGCCTACACATGAAGCCAGGCGGCACCCCGAGGTCCCCCTAAACCCTGAGCCCTGAGCCCTAAACCCTAAACCCTAAACCCTTAAACCCTACTGTAAACCCTAAACCTAAACCCTACACCCTAAACCCTAAACCCGAAAGCCTACAGCCTAAACCCTAAGCCCTAAACCCTGCAAACTCATTCCGCACTTGCGATCTGGACGGATGCTCAAGCCCCACACACCATCATTCTTCCCACGTAAGCCCTGAACCACAAACATGTTTGGGTTCTGAGGCTCTACACTGTCTACACTGTCGAATATAGGGGCCTTAAGACGTCGATTTTTTTTTTGGGGGGGGGGGTATTGAAGTACATTTTTAGAGGGACCATGAGGGAGTAATATTAGTAATTCTTCCGACCCTATAATTAGTACACATCCCTAATTACACCCTTCAAACCCGAGGGCAAAGAGCCACTGCAGGCTGTTGCCAGGCCTCATCAGGTGCAGTAGCCTAGCGCAGAGGCGGCCCAACCCCTCAACGCTCGAACAAACAACCACGGAACAAGGGTTTGGGGGCAAAAAGTCCGGTACGCTTGAGGCTTTAGGGCTTAAAACCCTAAACCCTAAACCCTAAACCCTAATGGCTTCAGGGTCTCTACCAAACTTCAGAAAAAAGTGTGCCGTGCACATTGGGGCCCTTCAGAGCAGTAAGGGCAAGGAAGTCCAGGCTCACGTGGGCTGTTGTCCCCCGCGTGACGAAGAATGGCAGATCGCGAAGAACTGTCGGGTCCCATAAGGTCTGCGATTGGGTTTATTAGGGTTTAGGGTTTAGGGTTTAGGCCAGAAGAGCAAAGTGCTGCATCGCTCCATGTGTCTAGTCGCGCTCTCGGCCAAGGCGCATTCCGTGGTTCAAATCGCGCTGGCCATGATCCCGTGCACGTACTGGCACTTGCATCGCTCGGTGCCACCCAAACAGAAGGGGATGTGCTTTTCAGCGTCCCGGGTCCCGGGTGTCTTCTACAGGTCCACTTTCGGGTCCCCCAGTCCCATTCGCACGCTCTTCGTGAAGGCTCTTTTGGATCATGTCGAGTGACAATTGCGATGTGACACTGTTGGGGTCTATATTTTAGTTCGCATACAGGGGCTTGGAGCTTGGAGTTTAGGGGGTCAGGGTTCAGGTTTTTCGGGGTCTGGGTGGAGGGCTCTTCCCAGATTGCCCAGTGACCTCGGCAGTCTGTCGGAGGCGTCGCACACCTGACGTGGCCCAGGAGTTTGAGGGCTAAGTATGCAGGCCGGGTTCGGGCTATTTGGATACTCACATGATATAACTGTGTATGGTTCAGGGATCCATCCAAATGCCGCCTGAATGATCTGTTGACAAAGGCGAGGAAGGAAAGGTACTAACTTTCTAGGATGAACCTTAAAACCCTCTGAAAAATATTTCAGAATATGAGCCTCTGAAACCCAATAAGGGGAAAAATGAAATGTCCCAAGGGCCTACCTAGAGTTTTCTGGGACAATCAATTGAAGCCTCTTGAATCGCCTCGAGGCCTCGACCTTCAAGACATCTTAATGCCGGGTTTAGGGTTTCGGCTTTAGGCTTTAGGGCCAAACTCCGTATGCGCTTGCATATTACAAGGCTTTCAAGCTTCGGAACTGAATCACAACTAACAAAAGCCATTGACCTAACAGTTAAAAAGCTGCGGTCATGGGTTGCAGATCGCATCTTGCGATCGTACGCTCCTGCGCAAAGGTGCC